TGTGATATATATATATATATATATATATATAGATCAAGGGCAAATATATTAAAATAGAAAAGATATAGATAGGTTGTGTAAGTAGGCCCAAAAAAGGCACCCACCCACACGGTACAACGCACACGAAATCCCAAAAAAGATAGGTACATGTAAGCTCCAAAAACCAAAAACTGCTAAAACGCAGATTAGGGGTGAATCAATTTAGTCTTGCCTCTGCCTCTAGTCCTAGGAAAGGAGCCGACTAACAAATTGGTGAGATGCGTGCCATTACCCGAAGTAACCAACGTGTCATCCATTAAGCTCCTGAGCTCGAGAAGGCCTTCATTTTTTTTTCTTTCACCTGGATGTGTAAACCTATCATTCCTCATCCAAAGACTATCTCATCTGATCAGCGTGTTGGTTAACAAAATGCCTGACATATATAATCTGATGAGCTCCTTGCGTCTGACTAACAGTAACAACTTGCTCGTTCTGATGAAGTAGTAGAACCACAGTAGACAAATTTCCAACAACGATAGATTCTAGTGTGTGTGAAGTCTGAATTGTCTCCTTTGCACCTAATGTTTCCTGAAGATGAGGAGCTGCAAGACTATCCTGATTATTAGTCCGAACATTATCCCTTGTGAGCAAGGATTCTTCAGTATTGATTTCAAAAAGGTTTGGTGTTGTAGGTTGCACAGTAGAACCATCCAACAACACATCAATCGCAGTAACAAAAACAATATTGTCAGGAGGGGGTTCCCAGGGGCAATAAAGTCAGACACTAACTCCTTTCTTGTGGTAAATCCCTCCACAGGTGGAGCAGATGTGTCCAGAGCAGTTAGACTCATCGTTATTCATTTGAGCTTTAGGTTTCAGTTAGGGTGGAGCCTGTGACTTTTGTCAAGGGGATGCCCAAACATCTTATAATGTGTACAATAAAAGGGTTTATGTTCCATGACAATTTGTTGTCAATATCTATTATGTGTTATACCTAGCCATACTTCTGTAATATCAGGTAAAGTAATATCCATTTCCACAAGTGTTCTGGCAATAGAAGGTCTGGTCAGATTGAAGGTATATCTAGCTTCATAGGATCCTCATGTATGACCCAATAAAGTAGAGAACCTGATGATTAAAGAAATGCAGCTTGAGACCAGGTAAATTAAACCATACCGGTACAGTAGGAGGCTCATGACTTGGGTCAAAATCAGGAGACCTCTTAAGCAACTTCATTGACTTTCCTGCAATGTTAATATATTTTTTAGAGAAAATCCGAGCTTAGTCTTCAGTCGTGGTCAACTGAATCAATACATGCCTCCCATCAATAAGTCCCACTTTCCACTTTCCTACTAGTTTGAGATCTTCAAAATTTTTTATGATAACTTCCATAGGAGGTGCCCCCACTGAAATTTTTCGATAACAACGAACTTGCATTTCTCAGTCAAGGTTGAGGTTTTTAAATCAGAGAAAAAGATAACTGCTTTCCCACCCTCTTTACTTATATTCTTAACAAAAGGCCGACTCCTCCAGATGGTTACCCAGCACATGGGCGAAAGAAACTTTCCCTGGTTCAGCCAAAAGCGGAGGAATTGTACCCATCAAAGCAGACGGTCGTGAATGAAACCAGACGTGAAGGACGAACAAAACCAGACGCGAAGCAGAGAGTTCGATGAAGCTGGCAGTCGCGACCGGACGCGAGGGAGGCGCGTCGGGTCGAAGCTCCACGACGCCGCAGAAGCCAAGCACCGAGCCCTTTAGCCTGTAGATGAGAGCTAGACGCCCGCAAAAAACTTCGGGTCAAAGCCGAACGCACGACGCCGAACGAGTCGCGAGCCCCTCAGCCTGCGGACGATGAAGCACGAGCGGTATGTCACACGAAACAGAAGAAAACAACGAAAGAGCGAGCACTAGCAATGGAGCAGAAAACCAGGGTATGGCATAATGGTGAAACCCTAGCAGAGCGTAACCGAAGAAGACGCCGCCATCGATATATGTATGTATGTATGTATGTATATATATATCTATATAT